ATGTCATCAAATCGTTGCACAATTGGTCGCAATTCTCTTCATTACCACTCAATGGACTGACTGTCGACTCGTTGTCCTCCTCTTTGGTCAACGAATTGGTACTCATTTTGCAAAGTAATCAACACTTGTCTCAACACATCCAACACTTCCTAACCATTCATTCACTCAATCGTTGTTTACATTTGTTTTGACGTAAACTCAAAAACAAATACAAATTACGTTCACTTCAAACAACTTTTTAAACACTTTTTAATTACTTTTAATTAGCATTAAATCAATTAAGTGTTGAATATATCAACAAATTTGACATTAAATACAGTGAATGTGTTGTCAATTCATTTCGGTATTAATCATGACTTTAAATACAATTATATCGACAAATGATTTGTACATTATTTGAGACATACTTTCAAATGTCAAACAAATGAGTCTTTGTTTACAAAACATTTGAAAGACTCAAAAGACTCAGTGTTTTGTCGGTCAACGGATCCCAAGACTAGACATGAGTTCTGTATGTATTGACCATTAAATAAGACAAACATTAAATGTTTATTACATTGTCTTACAGTTAAACCAAAGCAACAACGGTTCAAATGGCATCAAATGGATGTCTTCGTCGACATTGAGTCTAATTAACCGCATATTTGACACCATTTTGTTGGTATCCGTCCTCTCGTACCAGAACTGGACGCTTAGCTATTACTTGACGTCTTTTAATGGACACAACAGTCTCTGGTATTTCCTATTCTTCGCCGACTTTCTTCTGGCCTTTGTGTTCATATCGGGCGCTGTCCTCGGATGCCGTCATTACCGGAGAGTTAATGTCTTAAAGCGATCGACAACTTTGAACCCGTCCTCAGATGACAACGGATTGCAAACTAATGAATCAAATGATAAGAAACGAGTGAATAAACTAAGAGTTTGTAACATAACTATTCCTCGAGTGTTGGGAAGTCTACCACTTCTATGGATTTGTTGGCTTTTATACACAGCGTTATTGTCGACCAAAATATTTGTTCTCAATTTGCAGAACATTACTCTCGAGTTATATAAGTCATCCGTAACTCAGGTGCGGATCCGATAATTGATTGGATTTGTAAATTGATTTCTAATTAATGTGTATTTCGATGAATGGATAGGACTCTCGAGGGGAGGCCGAGCCCCACACCATCCGTCTCTGTCTGGCTCTCATGACTCTTGTATTCATTCTATGGGTTGACATTCATCGCAACCCTAAGAATAAGCGTTCCCTCGACTGCATCAAAGAGTTGGACACAATAACAGTGATCGAGATCTTCGACTCAATCGACTTGTTAGACCTCTTGCTGCCAGACTCTCCCAGAGAGATGTCATCGGGTTTACAACATTCCCAATGGGTTACAGTAGTGGTGTTGATGTTGTCCGCAATCAATCTAATGCTTCCGACCACTGGATTATACCGTTTAAGTAAAAGTGATTTCGCTTCACATAAACTCAATCTCCGAATGAATATTTTACACGATTCCCTACGAATACTATTGGTTAATCTGCCGTATCTATTGCTAAGACTCGCCTTTTGGGTCTCTATTAACAAAGAAATCTCATTATTCNTCTTATATTAATTATAATTTCTCTAATGATTAAACACTTTGAATAGAAACCCAAAGAAACTGAATTATCATTAGCCGTGGTCTCCGATGAGAACAATTCCCGGAACAATGGAATCGATGATTAATCTCTTCATTTGAATCTCATTAAGTCTGACAACGAATTATTTTTTATAAGATTACTTTTGACGCCAAAGATATCGTGACTATAATTATTAATGCATTTAATGTTATTTCTCAAAAACTAATGGTTAAAAGTGCCAAACACTTAAGCCTTTACTTGTATTGTACTTATTGTATAGTACTTCCAAATGTACTCTAATTTTTAATATTTATAACTCAATTATAGCTAATAATGTTTGCCTTTTTCATAAAAATGAAACTCATTGTAATTGACACGTCTATTGACTGCCAACTTATTAAATGCAATTTCCAAATACAAGATTAAATAAATATTGAATTTTTATTTAGTCATTTGGTTATATCCTATATAATAATCAATTAATTTAGAGTAACACCTGATTTAGTGACTGTTGCTGTTCGGCAGTCAGTCGTTGGTAACAATTTGCAAACGCATTGGCGTCCGACTGTTGAAATACAATCACTGATATTAGAATATATATTCAATTGATTAATTAATAGACATTACTTTTACGAATTGAAGGTATGAAATCAATTTCTGTCCCAAATCACTATTAGAATCGATGGCCATTCGGGCCAACACTTCGGCAATAACTGCCACAATATGCGGTAAATTGCTAT